AGGGGTTAGGGGTTTAGGGTTTAAAAGGGTTAACACACCCATTAAGACTTGGGTGAAATGTAGGGGCCTTAATAATTAGAATAGGGCTCTGGGGCAGACTATACTAGAGGTGTATAAGGGGCTCCTAAAATAGAATTGGTAATTATACTTAGGCTTCTAGGTTAGGGTGTCGGGCTTTGGGTTTAGCACCTTGCGCTTAGGGCAAGGGGCTCAGGGTGAGGGGCATACGTGCAGGTTGAGGGTTTAGGGTTTCAGAGTTACCATCAATGGTTGATGATACGATTATTGACAAGACGAACCAAAGTGACAAACGCTTCCTTTAGTTCGCCCTAAACCCCAAACCTGCTGGTTTTTGAGAAGCCATGGAATTGCTATTTTAGTACTGGGGCTCAACCGGCGGAAAGTCAACAACATAAACCCAAGACCCCAACCTCGGAAACCCGAAACCCTGAATCCTACACCCTAAACCTAAACCCTAAACCCTAAACGCAAGCCCTAAACCCATAAACCCCTAAACCCAAAACCCTAAACCCGTATAACCCGATTATCTGCTCGCAGGCTCGCAGGGGCTAGGCTTCCTGCGAACGTCATTCGACCTTGTTCGGTCCATTTCGGCGAGAAGTCTGTCACCCTATGCCTCCAAGAGGCCTTATTCTTGAGTCCTTAATAGGGTTTAGGGTTATTAAGGGTTAAGGGGTCTAAGACCCTAAACCCTAAATCCCATACTCTACACCGGCTAGGGCCCTAAGTATAAGATCCTTGGAAGCATAGGGTCATTGCACATATGATAGGCCAGGCAGCCTTTTTTCATGGCTGAACGCTTTCTGCTCACGGGAACTTTCGGTATTGAGCTTGAGGGATATGTGATGGTGTGAGAACTGCAAAAGGCAAGCCGTGAACCTGACATTAAAAACCCTCAGTTGAGCCCTGAATGTGTAGCAGCCTGAAACCCACAAAACCTGAAACTCTCGTATCATTCTGAACCTCAAACCTCAGCCCAGGCCACCAAAGCAAAACTTCCGATGCCAAGTGAGACCCATGTCATCTGTAGGATGGCATGACTGACTATTGTGCAAAAACACCCGTCCCTAACTAATGCCAAGCTCACAAGGACTACATCCTTGAAGCATACCCGGCAACGATTGTGCGCAGGGCATGACTTCATCTTAGGGCCGATCATCTAGCATCTAGCAAACATGTGGGTATTTCTCTAAATTAGGGTCGCCTTTTAGGTCCCCAATAAAGTACGGCAGCCTTTAAAAAAAAAGGACCTAAAAGGGACCCTAAATTTAGAGAACTACCGATGTAAGTTTTAGGAAATCTAGCAGAAGGCGAAGAGAAGCCCGGCTTGCTCTGTTACTGTCACAGCTCAGAGGGATGTCTTCGTACGAGATCTCGCCGGGTCCACTGAATAATTTGCGCTCGGTGGCTCTGTCACCTGTTCGGCTGGTTTGGACTGGCCACGCAAACATCCCCGCAAACATCTCTCGAGACACACACACACACACAC